TTAAGTTACGTACAACGTAACGTAACGAAACGTAACGTACGAAACGGTAAAAAAGGTAAAACGTAACAACACGGAGTAGGTAGGTAGGTCGACTACTAGTACGTACTTGGTACGTCTCTCTCTCTCTCTCTCTCTCTCTCTCTCTCTCTCTTGTGAACAAAAGCGGAAAGTTGCAGGGCTTACCGTAGTGAGAATGGGAAGCAGAAGGGTGAAAGCAGAGATGATGAAGACTATCTGCATATAGGATTCCACCTTAAGTGATGCACGTGCCATCAGACGAGAAGCAATGGAACTTCCCAACATCGACGCCAACATGAAAGTAGCGAAAATGAATCCATGAGGAATATCCTCATCATTTGGGCTCAAAGCTGGGGTCCAAAGGAACACGAAGGTGTACATTGAACCCTCAAACAAAGACTGTATGGCTCCCAATAAAGCAATTTTCTCATCTGTGAACCCACAAGTTACCTCAATATTAGCAAAACGCCTCTCAAAATATTCCATAAAACCAACATTTAATGAGTTAAACAGTGTACTAGTACTTATTATAGTTTGAAAAAAGAATTGCTTATGCCAAAACAAATCAAAAGTACAAACCAGAAGCAATGGCTACTGCTGCTCCCTTAAACTGGGTCAGCAAGTCCTTGCTCTCAGAGGGGTCTCCATAGTTTTCTGTCCATGATGATAAGATGATTGCCATGCCAATGGCGAGAAAGCAAGCAGCTGCATCAAAGGGAGCAACAGGTCCAAAGCCTAAATTGTCGGCGATAAAATTTGCAAACAACCCGGACACGATGGCAACAAGTCCATTCCCAAGGAATATGGCCTTTGAGAATGTAAAGGACAACCATTGTGCTTCAAAACCCCTCTGCAAGGAGCGAGTAAATATTTAACTTGCAAAAAGGAAAAGTAGAGCCGTTTTATCAGGAGATAGAGATACAAACACCAGTTACAGGAGGAGATAGGGATACAAAAACCAGCTACAGGAAAAAAAAGAGGTAACCAAAATCCAAAATTAGTCATGGCGATGAAGTAAATGCATCATCTCTGATCATAGTCGTCTGTTTAACACATGGTCAGTGTTTCACTTAGGATGCCAGAGACAGTCAGGATAATTGATGATTAGTTTAAACCAACAGCCAGATCTTTGTAAAAATTGTGAAATAGTCAAGCCTTAAGTGATCGCCAATTTTTCTTTAATCAAATTCTGACTAACAAAACTAGATTGGGGATTAGTTTTTTAAACATTTTGATACAACTCCTCAATCATCGTCTTCTTAATTTAAGAAATGGTAGTCAGACAAAGTGCGAAGAAGTCATTCAAACAAGTCATTCAGACTTTTTGAAATGTAAGGCTAAAACTAATCCAAGAAGTACGACAGGCCCAAACAACAAACAAATCAACCCCACGGCCCCCCAAACCCCCCACACCAACCCCCCCCCCCCCCCAACCAAATCCCTCCAACCCTAAACAACCAAAAAAAAAATACCGACCACCACCACCGCCCCAAAATAGAGGAGGGAATGGGATAGAAACACTACATATTACTAATTCTCAGACAACATGTATTTTGCTTATGTCAAGGAGCCAGAATGACAACAGAAGTGAAACCTTGACAGTTAAAACCAAATTTCCATATTCTGATATCTACAAATTGCTGAAAACATAGAAGAAATGACAAAACCTCAAACCTTAAAGTGTTCAGCTACAAGCCATGATTCAAATGCTGAGAACAGAAGTGATGTGGCAATCCCTCCTAAAATACGGCCCAGCATCAGAACTTTGTACTGAGGAGAGTGCTTAGTGATACAGCTCAGGATGTAAGTAATACAGTAAGTTATGCAAGCACGCTTCCTTCCCCTGCATTTCCATCATGGAAAAATAAGAATATTGCAGCTCTGTTACTAGGGAAAAGACTGGCTAATGGCCAGCGTGCTGCAAAAGTTTGTAGCAATATCATATAATAAATATTTGAACAGAATTTGCAAATAGATAATGAAATGGTAAAAAAAAAAAATACACCACAAAAATAAAAGCACAATATCTTATGATTCTTTTTTCTAATTTTCAGAACATCATTGTTTTAGAAAGGCATTATCTCGGTAAATAGCACACCATTATGGTCCATAGTGTATACATTTTTGGCATAAATTGGTGGTGCAAGAACACAGTTAGCAAAACTCTTTACAAAGATTTTTTCTCAAATATACTCTTTATTTTTTCCAAAAACATTTTAAAAGTTATGATTTTCAAAATTACATTCAAAAGGAACTCTTCATTAAAAATTTTGAAGAAAACAAATTATTACTGTATTTTATCATTTAAAAGGAACTTTTCCCTAATATTTTCAAAATTTACCTGAACTTTGTCCTTCTTTGTCATCTTTGTCAAATTAGCCATGGCTTAGTGCAATACGGTGTATTAATGTTTATTTATTAGGTGATTAGTTACATCCTGTATTAAAATTCTTTCTTGTTTTTGTAAAAGTCAATATTATTAACCAGCCTCCCCTTACACATATATATATACACACATATACACTCTTTTTTTTTACTTAATTTCTTTTGAGTCAAATAATCACGTTTTTTTTTTCCACTCAACGATTTTCTCACACTCTTTATCTTTGGTCCATGTTTATGGCTGTAGTTTTCTTTTCCACCAAAATCAAATCAATAATGACTTTTTGTTTTCCTGTTTTCTGATATATTTGTGTTACATGAATTGCTAATGCTGCATAGGAATAATAATTCTTTTATTCCTTAAAATTTAGAAGCATAAAATTTGTGAAAAGAATTTCAAATATTCACTGAAAGATAATGCAATTCTTTTTGTTATGTTCTCCTCTTTTACCAGCTTGAAATTGGCAACTAAATTTAAAAACATAAGGATAATGTGGGGAAATAAATTTTTTAAAAACACCAATACAAGAAAAAATTGGAAAAAAAAAAAATGGGTAGGCCAATATCAAAATAACACCAAAAGATAAAAAGTAAAATAAAAAAATTAAACTCAGTAGGCTAAGATCTTACTGTTTGTCTGCTAGGGATCCAACAACTGTACCAAACAACATAGAAGATCCAAAACCCGCAATGAAGAGTCGACCAATCTCCCCCTTACTAAAACCATACTGGCTATACAGGAAGTACACATAGGGACCTTGCAACCAATCACCAGCTGCATTCACCCAAAAAAAGGGGGAAAAAAGAAACAAAAAAACAAAACTTGTCAGAATGCAATATATTTATATTTAGATTTAGATCAGCTCCCCTATGTTGACCATTGATTATAAAAAGAATTGGAAATTGAGTTTTATACCCACTAACAATGTCGCCTTATCATTAGGATTTCATCAGAATCTTTCAAATTTTATCAGTCCCGAGAGTTAAAATTAGGGTATAACGGAACAAAATCATGTATTGATGTAAATGACAAATAGATTATTTCTATCTCGTAAAGTTGTATATAAAACTTAAGAATAGAAGGTATTGATTCATGGATCATAAATCCTTGAAAAAATTTTACGTACTTTCCCAATGTGAGAGAAACCAAAAAGGGCCAGCATGGCAATTGGTGATGCAAAAATGTAAAACAAGGAAGATCCATAGCACATTGTACTCCTTAAGCAAAAACACCAGATCAAAATAGGAAAATTAAATACAGAGGCACAATTAAAATCCCGAATTATACCAGAATTGAAATGACAGTAAAATATATTTGCAGTCTCATATCATCACTCATTTTCCCATTTAAAAGAACCCAAAAACTAAGATCCTAGATCCAAAAAAGTTCCTTTTTAAAAGTAAACTAAATAGCTGAGATCTAAGGACATCTCAAAGTGCTGAGATCTAAGGACATCTCAAAGTAAGCATCACAAAAGAATCCCTAAATCGCAACAACCAGCAACTAAAGGAAACCATTCATCAAAAACCCATAAATGAAAAACCAAAATTCAAGAAGCCTGTCATTTAGATCAATGCAAAACTAACAAGAAAACAAGATCCAGTAAGACTCCAGCTCAGGATGCCATTAACATAAGGAAACGCACAGGTATAGAGAGGGAAAAAGTTAAGAAACTTTGCCTACCCATCATGAGGGAGTAAACAACGAGATAATTGTTCTTGAAGGAGTTGAATGCAGAGGATGTTGTAATGCGATCCTTGCTGGTTTTGCTGAGCTCGAGGACTGCAACCACCACAGATAGGACTCCAAAAACCAGGTAATAGAAAACCTCCATTGTTGATCCCTGGTTCCACACGCAGTAGAAGAAGCGTATTTTTAGAGTGAGAAACAGAGAGAAGAGATTTAGAGAGAGAGAGAGAGAGAAGGTAAACGTCTTAGTGCTCGACCAAAGAGAGAGAGAGAGAGAGAGAGAGAGAGTATATCTTTCGTTTCCGCGTCCTCATTCCCTTGGTTGTTTGCGGGGTGATATTAATAGAACTTTGTATTACGCTTTTTGCCCCTTATAAAGTGACCTATACCCCTACCAATTTCACCTGATCATGTTTGTGTTTCTACTTTCCAGTAAAGGTTGGGGCATTTGTGTTTGAGAGTGGATCCTAGTCGTCGGTGCTCAGCCTTCACCTTAGATATGCCCCCATCTTTGTAAATGAACGCAGTTATCTCTCTCCTCCTCTACAACACTTCTCTTCTTTTATTTTTTTCTCCTTTGTATTTTAAATATTAAACTCGCATTTCATTGCTTCAAAGATACATAAACCAGAAAATTACAGGAGTCCCTTTTTTGTTTTAAATATTAACCACGAATTTCATTGCTTCAGAGATACATAAACTAGAAAATTACACGAGGGATGAGATCATGAAGGATGGTTGGTGAACTCCCCTTTTGGCAAGCACATTAGCCCCAAAGTTTCTTTCGCTATAACAGTACAACAATTCAAAAGAAAAAATAAGTAAGAGAGAATGAATTTCATCAAAAAAAACTCTTAGTCACCACCACGGTGGTTTTACCCTTCTTCTTCATATGAAATAACATTTGCAAAGTCTCCTTTAGTAACCTTATGGCCATCATTCACCATGAGCAATTTGGGGCCCTCGGTCTCCAGTTTGCATGAATCCTAGGGATTTTGGATGACCTGACTTTTGCGATCACCACTATAATCTTTGTGCGTTGAGAACCAGTCGACCCGCCATAGCAACAGAATATCCATATCCATGTGCACTCCTTCAAATGCTCTTCTACTACGTTCTCCCCAAATATTCCATAATATGCTAGTCCATATAGACCGCCATTGAATAGAACCCATCTTTAGAATTCTTGGATGCATCCATTCACTGTACCTATCATCATAAAAGAGGCGGTAAACTAACTTCATCGAAAAATCGCCATGAGGATTCAGATCCTAGATAAAAGTATCCTCTTTATTTGGTGCATAGAAAAAGGTCTAAGAGATTTTGGAATTAAGCAGCAAAAGAGTGAGATACCCTCCTATACCTGCACACAATAGACCAAGAATTATTAGAAGCATCATCCCCTCTCAATTCATTCACTGAGACCAATGGGTTTAGCACTTTAGAGAAAACATCAAGGAATAAATATCAAACAGGATAGTCTTCCAACTACTTATCAAACCAAGAAGGAGTTTGATCTCCTTTGCCCACCAATTTACGACAGTGGCGAAGATATAAAGTCCTTCAAAAGTCAATTCATCTCTATAAACTGCCCATGGATGCTTTAGATCTTGGAATTTTTGAAACACCAAGGTAGACATCCATTCCGTACTTTTTAACCATAAGGATTTCTGTTACTTATGACTGAAAACACCGCCACTATTTTTTAAGTAGAATTGTATTCACATCCTCAACCTCTTATGAAAGCACAAACCTTATCCCACATTATAGGCTTCGTCTTTTTTTTCTCTCCCACTTTCTCCCAAAGAAAGGCTCGCATTATATCTCCTAACTGTTTTACCACTTCTTATGGCATTCGAATGATAGACATAAAGTAGATCGGCAAATTAGATAAAGTTGATTTTATCAAAGTAGTTCTTCCCCCGAAAAGATAATAACTAGGATTTTTGTAAATCCATTTTCTTATCAAACCTTTCTACAACTGGATCCCAAATCGATCTTGAAGGATTTCCAGCAACTAGGGGATTCCCGAGGTATTTACTAGGTAACTTACTGACGTCATATCCAATAATATTAGCCAATTGTCTTAAACTGTTTTCCTCGTAGCCAATTCTAATCAGAGCCATTTTGCACAAGATAACATTCAATCCCGTAGCTAACTCCATGCGTTTTAGGAATACCCATAAAAACCTAATGCCCCTCTCTTCAGGATTGCAAAAACAAAGGTATCATCAATGTATTGAAGATGCCAGATCTTCAACCCATTGTTACGATTATTAATTCCATTAATTAAACTTTTATCAGCCGCTAACTTCAACATCGCACTAAAGCTTTCAACCATTAGTTTATTAAGATACGGTGATAAAAGGTGTCCTTGACGAATCCCTCGAAAATGAGTACTTAATAGACATCCTTGGATCCAAAACCTCCATCTAGAACGAATACCATTGTGTCCATTATCTCATGTAAAACCTGCAAATCTACATTATCATATGATTTCTCAAAATCAATTTTGACTGTACATACTTGGACAAATGGGATGATCTATTCATATTAAGCTTGTAAAATAAAGCCTGGAAAATACTTAAAGACATGGTGGAGGTTTAGGGATTCGTTACTAACTGTTTCTAAATGGAACTCCAAGGATTGTACATCTCTTTTTTTTTTCTTTTTTTTTTGAGAATAAAGGATTGTGCATCTTTTCATCCAAGAAGAATGAGAAGGTTAAACATCACAAGGTTTCCACTTGATGCATGGACTTTCAAGGTGTTCTGTGAGCGTACCAGGGTTTGTGATTAGCTAATCAAGCTCAACTGGAAAGCTATAGCTGAAAGCCTTGTGGTAAGCTGATGAAGATTGACTGGAAAACTACAGCCACAGAAAACCTCGATGCAGTAAGAGTCCAGATCATAGTACCACAGATTGAAGTACTGCATGATCAGACCACCCATAAAAAATGTCACTATTTGCAGACAACATTGTGTTCTTCTTAACTGTTATAGAGATGAGGATAAAGGCATAGGAAGCTTCAGTCCTGCTGAGTACGGACTTTCATTCTATTCTAAAAGAGCTGACTAAGGAGAGAGGCAAGAAGCCAAAAAATGAGGGCTAGGTTAGGGTGGGAAGCAGTAGGAACACGAGGAATCCAAAAAGCCGGCAAAGTCTCAAAAGACGATTCGAATGGAAACTCAAACTACCTCCTGGAGAAGATTACATGATGCTTCAGCTGAGTAAAATGCCAGGAGAAGTAGGTGTTCGTGGCAAAGAAAAAATATGCTGGCAACTAAAATAGGGTTACCAGACTTCGAAATTATTTTTTCAGAAAAAAATTGCTTCAAATTTGGAAACCGCTTACTATTCTTGAAGGAGCATCAGTTGAAGTTTAGCATGAAGGTACCGAGCTCTGCAGCGACCCTAAGATGGACTTTTGAATTGATTTTGGCTCTAGTTTAAATGATAGTCATCCGGTTTTGACTAAAATGGCATGTTATTGGGAACTGATCAAGACAACTCTAGCATAAAAGTCTAGCATGACAGATGTTTGTGTTGGCTATGTGGCCTTTCAAGGCGTTAAAGCCAAGAGTCTTACGCTCAGTGGGAGTTAGAGAGAGACTGAATCTGGGTGCTTGGCATACTGGGGCTCATATTCATATATCCCGAGTATTTGAGGCATTGAGAGTATGTGTTTTGAGAGTGTGAACTCTCGGAGATGTGGAAGGGTTACCTCCCAGTCAGGACTATATTGATTAGAATGACTCATAGTTAATGTGATAAGCCAGGGCTTGGAGAATCCAATCAAGAATAATAGAACCCGAGTATTTAAAAGAGTATTCGCCCTGTATAGAATGGTCGGTTCTTGGGACATGAGCCCATATTGTGGTACGAGACCGTTTCATGGCATGTGCAACCACAATCGTATGGGCAAGCCTCTGTTCTATAGTACTATCTGACTTAGAAGAGATAGTGCACATGTGCTTTGAGAGGACCCTTGTATTTGAGTAGGAATATATCCTACAAGCATGCACCAGTAATCCATTCAACCCATGGTGAAGAGAAGCTCTGGCTCAATGACTTTGTGGTGACCAATTATGTGTCCCTGCTATAGACTGTGGAGCATAGATCCATTAAGTCAGCTTGAGACACCGATGGAACGTCATTTGGGTTAGCCCAATGGAAAATGCCGACTAGTGTTATAAGTCTAGAAATCTCATTTACTTTTGGCCCAAATTAAGCTAAAATTGGTGAAAACATATTTTATATTGATGAGAAATTATGTAATAATGTTGACAAATCATTTGAATAATTTTTTAGACATTTGGAGACTTTTTCAGAATTTTAAACAATTTTGTTTGACAAATACCAAACAATGACATCCTATGGGGATGCCACATGGATCCCAAGTAGCCACAGGGATGCCACATGGCACCCCCACCTCCCCACTTGTGGATGACATCATGCGGTCATCATATCCATGTGGGGACCTATTTGTCATTATTTTTTTTGTTGGTATTATATTATAACATGTTATCTTGTTATTTAGAATGTTATATATTCTTATGACTTAAGTTTGATTTAAGTTAGATGTTTTGTTTTTTTTTCTCATATGTGCCATTTTTAACATGTGTGAATTCATGGGATTTTGAGAATTATTTTGATTTGTATTATTATCCACATGATTTTGTCGCAAGTGGGTATATCTTATGTGGCACCACCTTATGGGCTTGATCCATGTGAAATTTTAGTGTTGTTAAATCCTATTGGTAATGTCATAAGATATTTTATTCGCATGTATGGACGTCTTATATTACCTTTATGTCAATGTCCTTATTTTTTATTGACTCTTACAAATTATTAAAAAATCATTGGCATAAGTGTAAACATGAATTTGAACTTAATGAGAAATAAAACATGGAGCTAAGGTTTTTACGGTTAAAGGACTATATACCTAAGTTTTAAAGAGTGAAGGGTGTCAAAAGCTCATCCATTGATCTTGGTGATAAGATATGGATGAGTGGCTAGAATAAAAGTTTCTCATGTGTCATTGATCTAAGGAATCAATGATCAAGATCAAATCTATCTTTATGATCTAAGTATAAAAGTTTATTATGAGATCAATTATAACTTTAACTTAAGTATTCACTTCAAAGATAGAGAGAGAGAAGCCCCCTTTGACAAAAATATGGCCACCCATGAGACTATTTTCTTCCTTGAGCTTTCATTTGAAACCCTTCCATGGAGTAGTTCCTCATGTGTGTGATCAAACCC